TGCGGACAGGCAACGCAGAACGAGACTCAGGCGACACAGGACGCGACTCAGGCTCACGACGCTCCGTAAGACCTCTAGTCGGTCCAGAGTAAGGAGAAGGACCAGGCAGTGGAGAGGTCGGCTGTAACTGCGACTGTGACTGGACAGGCGGTGGACTCAGTAAAGGAGGAGCAGGACCAGGAGAAGGCGGGAGACCAAGAACCTGCTGAAAGAGCGGAACGTAGTACGGCCGCGGCCGCGCAGCGCCTCCAGAAACAGCAGAGACAGCACCAGTACCCTCAACTCCAGGGTCGCCAGCTACAACTCCCGCAGTACCACCAGCTCCAGTACCTCCAGTAGCAACACGTCCAGCACCTACAGCTCCAACTGCTACAGCACCACCAGCCCCAGCAGCTCCAGTACCTCCAGTACGAGCACCTCCTGGACCAGCTGCTCCAGCACCTCCAGCAGCTCCAGAAGCACCTCCAGCAGCTCCAGCACCAGTAGCACCTCCAGCAGCTCTAGCACCAGTAGCACCTCCAGCAGCTCCAGCAGCACCTCCAGCACCAGCAGCACCAGCAACTCCAGCACCAGCAGCACCTCCAGCAGCTCAAGAAGCACCTCCAGCAGCTCCAGCACCAGCAGCACCTCCAGCAACACCTCCAGCACCAGCAGCACCAGCAGCACCAACAGCACCAGCAGCAGCTCGACAGCGCCGAGCGTACCACTCACGAAGCTGCTGCGGAGAGAGGGGCTCCCGCCGCGACGAGACATCCGGAGGACCTCCAGACGCAGCACGCTCAGGCTGAGCACCCCCAGACTCAGCACCCCAAGGCTCCACATGCTCAGGCTCAGCACCCCCAGGCTCCGCACGTTCAGACACAGAAACCCCAGGCTCAGCACCCCCAGTCCCCGCACCCGCAGGCTCAGCACCCCTAGCAGCACCTGAGTCGACAGCTACCTCGACCGGCTCGGCAGGGTCTACCTGGTGTTATAGTCAAGAGTCCACTTAGAGGTCGCGGATGCCCATGAAACCGCCTAAGCAGAATCTGACGTCTTCAAACCGCCTCTGTTCAAAACGCCGTCACGATCAGCTCCGATAACACATGAGGCTGAAACTTGGATAGAAGTTAGCCTTAAGTGTCTGCTTTCCAACGGTGTATTGCTTGCTTTCACCAGAGGTGTATGCGCTACGCTGTGAACGAAAACGTAAGCTCGGCTGAAAAACGTGTATTCTCATTGATGCAAGGAAGAGGTGAGGTACAACATTGCCTAGGGGACTCTTAAGGGGTTGGGATCATCCTGGGAACTCAGAGAAGGTTGAGTCCTAGGGGAGAAAGGCTAGAGAAGGATGGGAAACGTCCTAGCTAGGTCAGCAAAGCCAACCACACATGGATGTTCAGAGCTGTACTCAAGGCAACCAATTGTGAGTTAAGCCAACCATGAGTCAGCTTGTCTTCCCACTTGCACCCTCTTGCAAGCTGGTTCCAGGAAGACCACACTTCTCAAAAGGAGGGTTGTAGAGTCCCACTTGACCACCTGTACTTCTTGTCTCATTCTCTGTCCCTGCACCATTGGCATAACAACAATGAAAGGGTGGCAACCAACAGTGCACCATGACTACGGAACAGTGAATTTCAGCAGCTGTCACGCAATGCTCAGATGTTGGATCGTTCTGAAACTTGGTGACCACCTGCACAGCGGGGCAAAGGACTGCCAGACCGAATTTCCGACCAATCAAAGCTCGGTAGACGATTCAGCAGCCGAAATGGTGAACTCGGGTGTTACCAAAAAGGAGTAACACACACTTCCGGGATGCCATAAGTCTTGAAACATAAAATGTTGTCATGCCTTGGTAACTGCTTCAAAAACTCTGAAACTTTGAGGGTTTGAAGAACACATGTTGAGCGAGCGAATGGGAGTGCGATGACCGTGCCACTGTAATGTGTTGGCACAACACCTGGGACACACCTGAGGGGGCAGGACCCTGAGGGGGGAGGGGGTCTACCGGAGGAGTACCTGGTGCTAGGAAGAGTGGCGGGGGGGGGGGAGAGGCAGTGCGGTAGGGAAGGAGACGGTAGTAAGACACCGACTCGTCAAACGTGACGTCCTGAGAGGACAGAACACGACGCGAGGTGGGGTGGTAGAACTGCCACCCGGGTGCGTCAGGGGGGAAGCCAACGAAGACGCAGGGAACGGCACGGGAGGACAGCTTGTCCGCTGAAGTATCGCGGACAAAAGCTCGAGATCCCCAGACACGGAACACAGACGCATCGCCAACCTTCCCCGTCCACCGCAGAGTAGGTGTGGTCTCCGGCAAGGAGACACGAGGCTGAAGGTTGATCTGATGCGCAGCGTACTGAACCGCGAACGGCCACAGAAAATGGGGAGCAGTCGCATGGATCATGGACGTACGAGCGACGTCCATGACCATGCCAATGCGGCGCTCAGCAATCCCATTTTGCTGTGGAGAGGCCGGAAGCGTGAACATCTGGCGGATGCCCTCCGCACGACAGAAGGCCCTCAGGAGGTCGGAGGAAAACTCACCACCTCTGTCTGAGTGCAGACGCAAAACAGGAAGGTCCGAGCCGAAACGCTCGCTGAGCTGGCGACGGGCACCGCGGATCCAGTCGATCAACACCTCAGTGACCTCACCCTTGCTGCGCAAGGGGAAGACTGTGGTGTAACGCGAGTAGTCGTCAACGACTAGCAGGAAGTAACGCTCGTGACCCTGTCCACGGACGCGGGCTGGGCCCCACACGTCCATGTGAAGAGTCTGCAGGGGAGCCTCCGTCGGAGGGAACGTGGAGGAGTGAGGAGTGGAGTGCTGTCGGCCCTCGACACACGGAACACAGGTAGGGGCAGGCCCCGGAGGAAGGGGAGGGAGGGACCGGGGGAGACCCGAGACAAGGGTACGGGAGGCCATACCTCGAAGACGAGGCAGGGAGGGGTGACCAAGGCGGTGGTGCCAAAGGAGAGTCTCGTGCGACAGAGGACGACACGAGCAGGGGGAAGACTCAGGACTAGACCTGGACGCGGCAGCAAACACCTGACTAGACGCGGCTACCTGACCAGACGCAGTCGTCAGTGTGTACAGACTCGACCCAGGCCGACGGGTGAACGTGGCCAGGTGGCGGCCCGTCCTAGAGCAAGTGCAGTGGGTCACACGTTGACCTCCAGGGGTGAACTGGTCGACCCACGCGTCCTGGAGGTCAGCTCCACTCACCAGGTTCGTAGAGAACGAGGGGAGGTGGAGTCCCGACAGCAAGCCCGACGGGGCCGCAGGACACGGTAGAACCGTGGAAGAGTGCGCAAGGACTGGGCCCCCAGAGGGGTCAGCCAGGGAGACTGCGACAGGCCGACTGAGCGGCGTGAGTGTGGTGCTGTCGCGGAAGAAGGAGCGCGAAGCACCAGAGTCAAGTGTGAAAGTGTGCAAGGCCTCAGTAGGTGCAGTACCAGAGAGAGCAGACTCACCAGCACCTGGAGCAGCAGACTCACCAGTACCTGGAGCAGCAGACGCACTAGCACCTAGAGCAGCAGCCGCAATGCCCGGGTCGGGCGGGACACTCAGATAACAGTCACCCTCAGCACTATCAGTCACAGCATACATGGCAGCAAGGATAGCATCGAAATCAAGATCAAAGATAGCAACATTCTGCTTAAGCAGATCACCCTAGCGAGGGAGCTCAACAGCGTCAGGAAACTAGGCACGCCACGCGTCAGTCAAGCGACCGAAGCAGCGCTGCGCAGTGTGTGGCAGCCCGCACGTCTCCCCACGACGCCCGCCGGTGCGAAGAACGTAAGTGCAGGGACCAGCACCCCCAGACCTCCCACGCCCAGCTTACCACTCACGAAGCTACTGGGGCGACGGGGTCTCACGGGAACGCGGCTGCCGCTGGCGCTGGCTACCACCAAAGCCTCCACGCTGCGCGGCTGCAACTCAACCAGCACCACCGCCGCCGCCACCTCCACCACCACTGCCGCTGTCTCCACCACCGCTGCCGCTGCCTCCACCACCTCCACCGCTGCCTCCACCACCTCCACCGCCGCCACTGAAGCCCCCACTCCTGGCACCACCCCCACCTCCACCGCCACCCCCTCCGCCTCCTCCACCGCCTCCGCCGCCGCCCCCGCCGTCCCCTCCACCACCCTTGCCCTTGCTGTTGCGGTGCCTCCCACTGGGAGCAGACGCAGCCCCGACCTCCTCAGTGCCAACGAGGTCGACAGCAGCAGCAGAAGCAACAGAGGGGAGAAGGGGGACAGGGGAACACCCCTCAAAGAAAGGGGTGCGACGGTCGCCGCAAGAAGCACCTACAGCTAAGATACTCTTCTTAGCTGCAGCAAGGCGCTTCTCTAGCAGGTCGACAGTCAGCTCGGTGGGGCAAAGGGAGAGAAAGTGGTCCCTGTCTGAAGAAAGGGAGTCAGGGAGGCGGGTGACTAGGTAGTAAAGGGTGATGTACATGGGGGGGGGGTTCTTGGCACAGAACTCAGTGGGAAGGGCAGCGCGGTAGCGGGCGTCACTAATGCGGAGGTGAGCAACTAGGTCAGCGACTGTGGCAAAGGCGGCAAGGTCAGGGAAAAGGTACGGCAGCATGAGGCGGCTGAGGGCAGCAGTGGCAGGGGAGGAGTAGCGCGCAACTACAGCGTCGTACAAAGACTGAGCAGTCTTGTACTGGCGAAAATGCGCGCGCTCAGCAAGTGGCAGGTGACTACGAATAGCAAGACGAGCAACAGCGTCACGAGTGGTCCACTGCGAGCGAACCGTACTATCAGCAGTGGCAGCAGGAGCAGCAGAGACACCGGACGTGTGATCGAAAAGGGATACCCCATCTCTAGAGTCACACTGAAGAAAGAGCTGCAGGTCGTCAACCCACACGTCAAAGTCAACTGCACGCCCCTCAGCATCAAATGTGAGAGCAGTAGGGCTAGCCATAGCAGCAGTAGCAGCAGTAGCAGCAGTAGCAGCAGTTGTAGTAGAAGCAGCAGTGGCAGCAGGAGCAGTGCAGGCAGGGCAGTGCGGCTCAGTAGGGCAGCGCGGCTCGGTAGGGCGGCGCGGCTCGGCAGGGCAGCGCGGCTCGCCAGAGCGGCGCGGCTCGATGGGCAACGCGGCTCGGCTCGGCGGCGCGGCTCGGCTTGGCGGCGCGGCTCAGTTCCTGGCGGCGCGGCGCAGCAGGGCAGCGCGGGTGCTTACTAGGGGCGGGTGCAGGGCAGGGCCGCGACAGCAGGGGCCGCGACTGCAGGGGCTGCGACAGCAAAGGGGCCGCGACGGCTGGGGCCGCGACTGCAGGTGCGGCGACAGCAGGGGCCGCGACAGCAAGGGCCTCGACGGCAGGGGCCGCGACAGCAGGGGCTGCGACGGCAGGGGCCGCGACAGCGGTAGGGGCCAAGACGGCAGCAGGGTCCGCGACGGCAGCAGGGGCCGCGACGGCAACAGGGGCCGCGACTGCAGCAGGGGCCGCGACGGCAGCAGGGGCCGCGACGGCAGCAGGGGCCGCGACGGCAGCAGGGGCCGCGACGGCAGCAGGGGCCGCGACGGCAGCAAGGGCCGCGACGGCAGAAGGGGCCGTGACGGCAGCAGGGGCCGCGACGGCAGTAGGAGCCGCGACGGCAGCAGGGGCCACGTCAGCAGCAGGGGCCGCGACGGCAGCAGGGGCCGCAACGGCGGTAGGGGCCGCGACGGCAGCAGGGGCCGCGACCGCAGCAGGGGCCGCGACGGCAGCAGGGGCCGCGTCGGCAGCAGGGGCCGCGACGGCAGCAGGGGCCGCGTTGGCAGTAGGGGCCACGACGGGCCGGCTAGGGAAGGGCGCGCGACGGCGCAGGTAAGGCGGGCGCGAGGCGGGCTTCGGGCAGGGCAGGAAAAAAAAAATCTCGTGGTGGGCCCTAAAAAAAACGTTCCCACGAGGGAACCTGCTCAGAATACCATGTTAGAATATGGAACGAATGAATGACTGAACTAGAAAGCAGGTGGGTACAAGTAGGAAACCTAAAAGTGTTGTACCCTATAAGAACTACCCCACTTCAGCGTTAACAGACTATAGCATATAAGTTTGACAGTAACCACTTCGAATGGACGGTGTGGGTCGGCAATGCGCAGTACGGGCGGTGAACAGAGAACATTTTTCAGGGTGGAGAAGGCAGCATGCTCTTTCTCCCCCCACGTAAAAGTGACCCCCTTCCGCAGTAAATCTGTTAGCGGGGCAGTTAAGCGTGCCATGTCGGGGACGAACCGGCGCACGTAATTAACGAACCCTGAAAAACTCTGCAGTTCCGTGATGTTCGTCAGGGGGTGCCACGCTTTTACCGTGTCCAATTTTTTTGGGTCGATTTCTACTCCAGCCTCCGAAATAACGTGCCCCAAAAACTCTAGCCTATCCTGAAAAAACTCGCACTTGGAACCCTTGGTCAGTAGTCTGTGTTTGTCTAAAACGGTAAATACTTCTTCTAAATCGACTAAGTGCTGCTGCTTATCCCGACTGTAGACTAGGATGTCATCGAGGTAGATGATCACACATTTATCTAAGAGTGGCCTAAACGCCTCATTCATTGTCATCTGGAAAGTCGCCGGCGCGTTGGTCAGCCCGAAAGGCATCACCGTGTATTCAAACGACCCGTACCGAGTCCTAAAAGCTGTCTTGGCACAGTCCGACGGTTCGACCCTAATCTGGTGGTAACCTCCCCGTAAGTCAATTTTCGAAAAGACCCGCGCTGTTCGCAGTTGATCTATCAGCTCGTCGGCGCGGGGGATGGGGTATCGCGATTTAATTGTAACCCTGTTCAGTGCTCGGTAGTCGATACACATGCGAAACCCGCCGTCCTTCTTCGGTGTGAACAGGATCGGTGCGGCGAATGGCGATGAGCTCGGTCGGATGATTTTTTTCTCTAACAGGTAATCTAACTGCTTCCTTAGCTCGTCGAGCTCGGGCAGTGTCAGTCTGAACTGTCGCTGTACGGTTGGCTATGCCCCAGGCTCTAATTCTATTCGGTGATCGTGCGCCCGCTGAGGTGGCAGTCCCTCTGGTAAGTCATCGGGGAAGATCCCCAGGAATCGTTTCAACAGTTCCTGTAGTTCCGATGGTACTGCCGCCAGTAGTTTCTGAAAATCACTCGGTTTGTCGGCTTCTTCTACTATCGCGATATCCACCGCGTACACGTCAGCTCCAGCGGCGACAGCCCGTTTCATCGTGATGGCGTTGACGTGGATCGTTGAAGACTCAGGCGACTGCCAGCGAGGTAGTTCCATCCAGTTACCGCTACTTCGCACAGTGCAGCTGCCCGTCGTCCAGTCGATTCGTGGGTTGTATCGTCGCAGCCAATCACGTCCTAGTAAAATATCGTGCCCATCTTATGTCGTCGCGAGCATTTCCTGTGTAAACCCGAAATTCCCCCCACAGCGGACTTTTACTCTTTCCACTTTTTCTCGTATGGCCAGCGGCGTTCCGTCAACTAAGCGTGCATCGATCTCCGGTAAGCACCGACTAAGTGTCAGTTGCAGCTTCCTTGCAGTTGCGGTATTAACTAAGCTGTGACTTGCACCTCCGTCTAAAAAAATCTTCACTGCTGCTCCCTGTATTTTCCCGTGAATCAGTACTGGGCAATCCGTCACTGTACCCTCCTTATTCGTCCGAGCCCGATCGTTAGCGTGAATTGGTACTGTGACTCGGTGAGGGTCGGTGAAGTTGGGCGAGCAGGCAGTCTCGTCAGTAGTTGGCCCAACTTCTACTGACTGCTGGCGTTTCCCGGCCTCTGAGACTCTCGCCCCTGCTCTGTTCCGCGGCGCCTCAGCTCCTCTGGGCATTCACTCTTGCGACGGCCCGGCCTATTGCAAGCAAAGCAGCGCCCTTTAAACGGCGCGGCAGCTGCATTCGTTGCAACAGCGTGTACGGTGGCGTGCTCGATCGGTCCCCGAGGACGTTGTCCGTAGTAGGACCCCGGTCTCGATCGTTGTAGGATGTCGATTTTCTCGGCGAGCGCGAGGATCTCGTTGAAATTCGAGAGCCCGCGTAGCACAATTTCGTGCGATATGTTCGGCTTTAGCCCTCCGACGTAACGGTCCACCCGCTCCGCTTCGTGCATATAGCCGACTTGTTCGCATAGTGCGAGAAAGCCGCTAGTATAGTCTTGAACCGACCCGAGCTGCCGCCAAGTGCGCAGCTTCTGACGCGCCGAAATCGAAGCCACGATCGGCTCGAAACGCGCCCGAAGCCCTGCGCACCACGCATCCCACGTGCTGTACTGGGCCGTCTCGCAGAATAAACTCCAGGTGACGGCTGGGCCCGTGGGCCCGTCTTCTTGCGACGGTGGCTCGTAGGCGCGTGGCGACGACACGATGACTCGCCACCAGTCCATGGCGGGGCCCCTCAGCAGCGAAACAGCGTAACGAATCTTCGCTGCGTCTGACTCGACGTAATTGGCGTCGAAAAACACGTTCATCGTGAAGACCCACGACTGAACCGTCGGACCCCCACGTTGGCTCGGGTCGAAACAGGGCAGACGCTGTGGCTTGAGTGGCATTGGTGCCGTGACGGCATATTCGCTACTTGTCGCCGCAAATTCCACGTGCCGACGGGACTCGCGGGGCTCCCGTGGGCTTGGTGCGGTCCTGTTTCTCTCCATGCCAGGCATCGAGTGAGCGGCGCCCTCACTGGCTGCGCCTGAGCGCTGTTCCACGCCGTCATTCTGTGTCGGTGTGCCGGAGGAGATGACAATCGGTTCCTCCGAATGTGCAGGTGCGTGTGTTGGTGTTGGTGCGTTCACTGTCGATTGTTGGCGAGCGGAGTCGCGTTCCGCCGTGAGTGTGTCGATTTCAAGCGCCGATTCTTCGAGTTGGCGCATGAGCCGATCTAGTTGCTCCTGTGTCAGTGTCGCGACATTGAGTTCTGCCATGGCGGGAGTGTCGGGCAAGCTCGGCGAGAGCCTCTGTCGTGGACGTGCGTGCTTAAAAGAGAGCACTACGAGCGGCGGTGCTTGATCGCTGAGAGACGTATACCCCCCCCCAAAAAAAAAATTATAGTGGGGAAGCGAAGGTGTGGGTGCAGTCCGAGAGAAGATCGTAGGCTCTGATAACCAAGTGTTACGAGTGCAATTGAGTGGGCGAGCGAGGATTGCACTATCGAGACAAGAATACAATTAGCGAAGGATTGAGCGAAGAATATATAGCGAAGCTACAGTGGTAACAGTAATGTGTGGGAAATGGAGTGCGTGACGGGCCTGGTGCCGAGGTTGGGGGACTGTCGAGGCGGAGGTCCGGAGCGCGGGTTACCAACCGAACCGTGAGGTTGGGTCGCATCGTGAACAATGGCGGGAATGGGGTTGAGGCGAATGTCGCGAGTGATAACGGGATACTGTGGGGTGCTGTTGGCGGGAACAGTGGTGTACGCGCTGAGCAGGGACGCGAAGTAAGGAAAAGGAATTGTCCTTACACTATGATTCTGGCTTATCTGATTGACACCCTCCTCTCCCAGCGTCTTAAAGTTGTAGTACTGTTGGGCTGAGAAAAGCCCTTAGGATCTTTCAGGACTAAGATCAGGTTTTGACGTAGAGATGTAATTGCGGAAGCGTTAATAAAAGGTTGCCTTGAACCACCTTGTACTGGTGTGTGAGAACAAGATAAGTTGAATAATAGCAAAGAGATACAGGCCTTTTATATGATTACAAGGAATATGAAAAGTTCTACTTTAACTGTTTTGCTGTTGTGGTTCGATACAGTGCCGACTCGGGTAACTGCTCAGTAACGAGTCAGTTATGTGTCCTTACTGTCGCACTGTACGTTTTGTCAAGTCAAAGGTCGAAGACCTTTGACCTTCTCGTAACCTCCGACGGTTGCCTTGGTTGACTCGAGTGCTTCTTCGCTGTAGTCAATTCTGTCAAACTTATATGCTATAGTATGTTTAGGCTGTAGTGGGGTAGTTCTCATAGGGTACAACACTTCTAGGTTTGCTACGTGTACCCACCTGCTTTCTAGTTCATCCATTTATTTCGCTCACATTCTAACATGGTATTCTAAGCAGGTTCCCTAGTGGGAACGTTTTTTTTAAGGGCCCACCACAACTTTTTTTTTCCTGCCCTGCCCGAAGCGCGCATCGCGCCCTGCCCGTCGTGGCCCCTTTGTCGCCCGTCCCGGCCCCTGTAGGACGCGACCCCTACTGCCCGTAGCGGCCCCTACTGCCCGTCGCGGCCCTAGCCCGTCGCGGCCCCCTTCTGGCGCGGCCCCTGCTGACGCGGCCCCTACTGACGCGGCCCCTGCCAGCGCGGCCCCTGCTTGCGCGCCCCCTGCTGGCGCGGCCCCTGCTAGCGCGACCCCTGCTGACGCGGCCCCACTGCTGACGCGGCCCCCTGCTGTCGCGGCCCCTACTGTCGCGGCCCCCCTGCTGTTGCCACCCCTACTGGCGCGGCCCCTACTGTCACGGCCCGGCCCTGCTGGCGCGGCCCCTGCTGACGCGGCCCCCCCAGCTGGCGTGGCCCCTGCTGACGCGGCCCCCCCCAACTGACGCGGCCCCCTGCTGGCGAGGTCCCTGCTGACGCGGCCCCCTGCTGTCGCGGCCCCCCTGCTGAGGCGGCCCCCTGCTGGCGAGGCCCCTGCTGACGCGCCCCCCCCCAGCTGGCGTGGCCCCTGCTGACGCGGCCCCCCCCAGCTTACGCGGCCCCCTGCTGGCGAGGACCCTGCTGACGCGGCCCCCTGCTGTCGCGGCCCCCCTGCTGACGCGGCCCCCTGCTGTCGCGGCCCCTACTTCCGCGGCCACCCTGCCGTCGCCACCCCTATTGGCGCGGCCCCTACTGTCAAGGCCCGGCCCTGCTGGCGCGGCCCCTGCTAACGCGCCCCCCCCCCCCCCCCCCCCCCCCCCCCCCCCCCCCTGCTGACGCGGCCCCCTGCTGGCGAGGCCCCTGCTGACGCGGCCCTCTGCTGGCGCGCCCCCTGCTGTCGCG